ATTTCCATCCCTTGGTTCGTGACAGCAATTCTAAAAGTAATCCCAGTGCCACAATCAGAATACCATATTTATAAAAGAAGGCAGAGTCCATGAAAAATTTACAAGAGCTAGCTCTGTATGTAACCCAATGAATCACTTAAATCTCAAAGTTAATAGTTTTTATATACCAGATTAGCTTTTCTGACATAGAGCACTGGAAAAATTATTTCTTCCAATTAAAGTATTCCAACATTGATAAATAAAATTCAGGTGTTATTTTAATTATCTGTTTTGATTCCATAATGATGCTTCATCGTACTAATTCTCAGATGCAGATGATTAAAACACTCACCTCTACAGCTAAGCTGATTTCATTTACAAGTTTGTTGGCTTCATTAAGGACATCATTCCCTTCTTGCAGGGTCTTTTCAACATCTTGTCTGTCATCTTCTAGAGCTTGCTTCTTTTTCTATAGGATGTGTTCATGCAAAGAAAAATATGAGTTAACTGGAATGGAGATGTCAGTTCAAATACCAGCATGCCAATAGAAGACTGCGTTTTGTCACCATGTCACTTCTGGAATTCTCTGAGCTTTCAGAGCAAAAATAGTGAGAACAATAAAGCACATATAATGCAAGGTATCTTTTCTTTGCCCTCCTGTTCCCAGCTCTGCATCCTCATCCCACACAGTAGGTTTTTGTTTCTCTATAACAGAAGTAACTGATTGTAGCAGTACTGCAAAATTAATCAGAAAGAATTTAGAAATCCCAATCTTAATCCAACGTGCAGGTTCCTCATCTTGACAAGTACTTTCTCTGCCTATGAAGCCAAAATTTATCAAAATATTCTGCTGTTTTCCTATTTAAGTCCACCGGTGTTTCATTAACTACTGAACGTAAAAAAAAAGACAATGGTTTGCAACATCCTTCGTATTCCTGATTCCAACTAGTGATAATACTGCATATTATGTAGTAAGTAACGACTTCTGAATAAGGAACTGGCAGTTTCCTTTGTGAGATCGAGTGTCACAGATGAGTTTGATAGGAGATGACGGCATTGTAACATTCATAGCGCTGTGATGGTTTCTTTCTCAAAACAGGGTCAAAATAAAGCAAAAAAAACTCCTCAAAACAACCAGGAGGCCAAGACCGCTGGAAAGAGTACTGTGATGCAGAGAATATTTTAAAAATTGAGATAGCACCTAATTTCTCCAGCCTTTATTAATCTACCTTTCAGAAGAAAATGCACAGAACAGAGATCACCTAACTTCTTTACAGCACTATATTTCCTTAAGTCAATCAAGCCAAAAAATCTCTGCTGAGAACTGAGGTCTCAGAACTCTAACCTCATCATTGTACATGAGGTGAAAGCTCATCAAGAAACAAACAGAGTTGAAACATTTATCTTCATTAGGTTGACTATGCTCTTTATGTCTTGGTTAAATACTTGTTAATGTATAGTATAATATGCTCTATAAGTCTCTGCAATTTAAATAAAATCACAAGCAGATCTCTGCTATGAGGAAGATCATTTATAACAGCTACTAACTACAGAGGACAGAGTTTGATTTATTACTCTGTAATATCCGCATACCCCCTTCAGCCTTCTTCCCAGGGGCTGGAGAGGGAGATGAAAATGTAAGTTTTCTAGGAGTAAATATATGACAGCAAAGATTTTAACTGAACTCCTATTTAAATCTTGAGCACAGTACTTGAATTTCACATGATTATTTATCCTGGGATGAATCTAATTTTCCCTCAAATAATACCCTCCACTTAATGTTTAAAAGCAGATGATACTATTTAGATAAATTTGTGGAGTAATTCTACATTTAAAAGCCAACACATCTCCTCATTCTGAGGAACATGTTTCCTTTTAATCATATCAGATACTTCTAGCTTAATAGTTTTTTTTGTTTTGCTTGTATTTTTGTTTCATGATTTAATCACGCAAAGTTTCAAACTTTGATCAGAGCTCAAGTAATCAAGGGTACAACTTGTCAGCACTCACCTCTACCATGGTCATATTTTTTTGGTTGACTGCAGATAAACGATCAGCCTTCCTAACTTTACTTGTAGCTTCTCTTAGCAGATCTTGAGCATCATCAACTTTGGTGTGGTAGTTCGCTAGCTTGTCCCGGACTTCATTTTTAAGATCCTCATTTTTCTCACTGGGCTCACCAAATAATTTCTTCACCTTGTCCAAAAGATCTTCTG